TGCCTCCGCCAGGATTTGCTCCATCATCACCCCTTTCATTGCTTCACTCTCCTCCACGGGCTCATCAGTTCCTACAAACACACCAAGATTACTCCATGTTGAAGAAGAGGAAAACAAAACATGAGACCAAAACCCACCCTCTAGGCATATCTATTCATCCCAAGGCTTTCCTACTACGTTTTTCAAAACAGCAATCTACACATCCACTGTACTTTCTCACGACTCCTTTTTCATTTCGCAACTTTGCTGCTCTCACTGTGCTGAACAGACCTGCCCATAACAGCCTGTCCTCAGTCCCACCCTCCCAGCTTTCTGCAACATGTGGCACTGTAGTCTGCCCACCTCCAACTCGAAACTCCTCTTTCCCTACGATGCTTCCAGTTTTCTTACTGTATCCCTGATCTGTTCTAGCTCTACGCTGGACTTCTTACTCTGCAAGCCCCCCAAATGTGAACGTCCCTTAGGATTCAGCACCTGTGCCCTCTTCTCTCTCCCTTAACAATCACATCTCTTCTTGGCCTTCATCCGTTCTAAGCAGACAACTCCTAAACTGGAAACTCTAGCTTCGACCACCAGTTCCAAATATCCAACTTGCTGCTAACATCTCCAACGGTAAGACCCCTCAACTCAGCAACTCCAGCACTCCTCCCCCATCATGTCACCCCCAGCTCTATACTTATTCTGGTCTCCCTATTTCTTTACTGAAAGCTTAGTTTTTGCTAGGTAGAGTTTTGGGTATTAGCATGCTCTCCGGGTTTGAGATCAGAGTGGGATTCAGAGAAAATGGGGACCAGAGATGATGTCACCTATAAAGAGCAACACTGAAACACTGGGAGTGGGTTATACTACCCAAAACAAGAATATAGAAAGGGAAGCATTATCAGGTGGTGGAGCACTGTCCCCAGCTTTGAGTCCTCAAAGGCACTGAACAGCCAAATGACTGAGTAATCAGTTACCCACCCCTGCTCCATCAGGTGTCTGAAAACTAAAGGCCTCCTGGTTTATTTTTATTAGCTATCATTTACTGACTGCTTACTAAAGCCCGGGGACAGTGTTAAGCATATTATATCCATTAACTCAAAGCTTCAAGAACCCTATTATCAGCATTTTACAAGTGAGGGAATTAAGAAATGGGGATTTTAAGTAACTTGCTCAAGATCATAAAACTGTTATGTTCCAAAACCAGGATTTAAGTCCTGGTTCCTAAACCCTGGAGTCTATGCTATCTCCCAAGAGAAAAAAGACATTAAAAACACAACACAAACCCTTCCTCCATAGACTTAAATGTTAAAATGCAGCAAATATTCTGAATCTACCTTAGACATTTTCTAGCTATACACAAGTGATAAAGGAAAAAAATGCTTTGGCATGACCCTTAGAGTTACGATGATATGCAAATTTATGAACTATTCCACAATTTACTTTGACCATAAAAATTATAACCATTCTATATTATTTAGTGTAATTGTCTAATTGCTTCATGATGTCAACCCTGTTCCTCCCCAATATTATAAAAAGCTCCAGAAAAAGAATCGGTCTTATATTTCTTGTGTCCTATGAATAGCAAGCATAAATAATAATGTATCCTGTACCTAGTAACCCATATTTATAAAATGTTTCCTATATGCTCAGCACCATTCTAAGCCTTTTATACACAGTAACTCATTTAATTCTCAAAATAAGTGTAAGACAGGTACTGCCACTGTCTTCCTTATACAGATGAGGACAGTGAGCCACCTGGCAGATTAAAGACGACCGCAACTTCTTCGACTCCCCTCCTACGGAACTTGTGGGATCTAGGTCTCCTCCCCTCGAATCTGAGCAGCTTCTGCCTTGATCAGTAGAAGAGGCAAAAATAAGGGCGTGAAGCTGTGCTCATCTCTGCGCCCAGGACCCAAGAGCTAACAGCTTCCACCTTCCATCTTTTGGGACATTGGCCCTGGAAGGCCTGCGTTGGCAGTCAGACTGTAAGACGCCCAAGTGGAGAGACTCAGGGGGTGGGAGAAGACTCCGCGGAGCTCAGCCTTCCAGCCACCCCTTCCCAGGACCAGATATGGGAGCAAAGCCACAGCGAACTCGCCAGAGCAGCCACCTCAAGCTGAACACCACGTCCAGTCGGCACCATGTGGAGCTGCAGAACTGTCCAATGGAGCCCTCCCTGAATTCCAGACCCACAAAAATGTGAGATAAAATAAAATAATTTTTAAGTTACTGTTTTGGGGTAGTTTACGGCACAGCAAGAGATAACCTGATCAGGTACAGAGAGGACAGTCAGACAGCTAATGAGTAAGAGGTAATCAAGGAGGGGCAGAGTTGGGATTTCAACCCAGGGAACCTGACTCCAAAGCCCACCCCTCACCCACTATTCCAAGTTACATGTGCAGATCAAGGCTTTCCGTGGATGGAATCAGTTGCTTCTTTAGTCTACTGCCAATGCCTGATTGTCCAGGTAACCCCACAGATAAGCACCTTACGGCACAGCACACTGAGGATGACCGCGCGGCACACAAGGTGGTGTGGTGTGACACAAGGAGTACAGGGCTCTCCTCCAACTTTGCAGCTAAATGACTTTGTGACGAGGACCAAAAACCTCCGGTGTCAAGACGTGTTCTACATCTATCTTATTGATCAGCCTATCTCTGGTATCCAGAAGAGTGCCCTGCACACAGTAGGTGTGCAATACATAGTTTTTGGATGAATGGAGACTCTGGGTCTGTTTTCTCACCTGTAAAACTGGAGAGGTCCCCCACTGGGTTAGATAACCTCCAAGGGATCTTCCTGTTCTAAATGCTACATATCTATACCAGGAATGTGATGGTAGGAAGATGAACGAATGGCATCAAAAGGAAGTGAAATACAGGAAAAGAGAACAAACAAAGGCTTAGACGGATGTGAACGAACAGGTGCTTCCAGAGGGAACAAGTCAGAACGGAATTTTAACCTACAGAGAGGGCTCCTAGAGCAAAGCCCTTCTGTTCGGTGAAGCAATTCACCAACTGGTCAAACACCAAAGGAGAGAATCTGGGGAAGTCTGCTCAGCAGGGCCAACAATAGATTAGTTTACAAGGGCCCACAGTTCATGCCCCTCAGCACCAAGCTTGCCTTAGAGTGGTCCTACCTTCCCCTCTGGCCACCATGTTTTTCAAATGGCTTGTCCCCTACCCCTCACCCCAACCTCAACGACAAAAGCATTGGCTTCAAGCAAACAAGCCTGGATTCTTGTCTCAGCTCTCTACTGACCTATGATGCCAGGCGGGCCACTTCAGTTAAACTGATACTGTGTGCCTAAGTTGTGCAAGACGTTTTTGTGAGGGTGGAATGTTGATAAACTGAACAATACAGGTGTCCTGCCCTCCACAGGCTGTCTCGGTTGTCCCATCATTCACTTAACTTTACAGACACCAAGGGTATGTCAGACACCCAGCCCATGATGGTGAACAACTCAGATCTGATCATCTATGCCTTCCGGAAGCGCCAGCCTAGCGGGAGAAACAGGTACGGCACTGTACTAGGGACGTTAAAGGAGGGAAGTACAAATTAACTTGGGGAGGAGGGTGAGGGGAAAACTGCCTGGAGGAAGAGACATCTCTGCTGAAACCTCCAAGTGAAGTCGGCCTGAGAGAGGGAAGAGAGTCCGCCCTGAGTTTTCAGGGGGATCAAATGAAAACAAAACCAGGGGAGGGCAACCAGGAACGAGGCACACATAGGTCCCTGGCACAGCGCCCTGCTTTCAAACCTCTGGGCCATTCTGTCATCTCTGTCGGAAAATATTTCCCTTCTTGTCCACTCTGGTGAATTCCTTCTGTTACGGGCTGAACTGTGTCCCCCCAAATCCACATGTTGAAGTCCTAAGCGCCAGCATCTCAGACGTGACTGCATTTGGAGGCTGGGCCTTTAAAGAGGTAACTTGAGGTCGTCGGGGTGGGCCCTGATCTGACTGGTGTCCTTACAGGAAGAGGCGATCAGGACGCACGGAGACACCAGGGATGCTCGTGCGCAGCGCGAGGAGGACGCGGCAAGAAGGGGGCGTCTGCCAGCCAAGAAGAGACCACCGCGCTGACACGGCGACCGTGGACCGCGGCCCCCGGGGCTGTGGGCACGCGCGCGCCGTCTGAGCCCCCGGGCTGCGGCGTGCGGTTACTGCGGCCTGGGCACCAGCACGCCTTCTGTGCCAGGCCCGCCGCGCTCGCCTCGAGTGACAGGTCCTTGTCGCCCCCGCCCCGGGCTCACGTCTGCCACGATCCCCCGCTCACCCCCCGCTCAACTTTCAGCCCCGCGCTCCGGCCACGCGCACCAACGGGGCGCGTCTACGCAGACCCTGCCTGGGGCGGAGAGGACGGACCACGGCGACGTGCACTCACGGACGGGCCCGCGCCGAGGGCTCCGCTCCCGCGAGCACGGAGGACCGCACGCTGTCACGGCGGCCGACCGAGGCACAGGCGCCGGCCTGAGGCTCGACCCCGGCTCGCCTGCAGCGGCGGAGGGCGTGCACCGAGGCGGCAGGCCCGGCGGGCGCCCCGGGCGGGCTCCAGGCCGAGGACCGGTCTCCCGGGGCCGAGCCGCGCAGACTCCGCCGCTCTCCGCCGACCCTCAGACCCCCACAGGTCGGCCCGGCGGCCGCCTTACCCTCGGAGGCCGCGCCGCGCCCCGCAGTCGCCTCTTCCCCGCCACCGCCCCAGCCCTCAGCGCCGGGATCCGCCGGCCGCGGAACGTGCCCGACCACGCCCCCTCGCCAGGCCCGTCCCGCCCCCCGGCTTCCTGTGGCGTCACTTCCGCCTGGGGTTAAGCTGTGCGACCGCCGCGCGCAGGCGCAGGGCGGCTCCAACCCGATTTCGGCGCCGGGAAGCGCTGGAGGGAGGCGGCGGCTGCGCTGGGCGGGAGGCGGCGGTTCCACGTGCTCTAGCGGCCGGTTGAAACCGTTGGCGGGCGGTGGCTGAGAGGTGAGGGCGGTGGCCCAGGGGCCGACCCGGGAGGCTGGGGCTCGGAGCGAGGAGGGGCGGCGGCGGAGTGGCCGCCTCCTGCACGTCCCCACTTGGCCCCCCTCTGGCTCGCACGCAGGGCAGGAGGAAATCCATTCGGATCTCATTCGGGCCCCGGGGAAGTGAAAGCAGTCCTGGACTCAGGATGGCCGGTTCTACCCGATTGTAGAACGGAGAGGTCCTCGTGTCGGGAGCCCCCTCTCCTCGGCAAGCCAGGGTGGTTGTCACTGCTGGTCTGGGCGTCAGGCTTGCTACATGTTGGGCATGAGGCTCTAGCCTTCCCCGAGTCTTGGGGAGCTCGGTCCCCAGGGAGGAGGCCGTAGAGCATAGTGGCTGAGAGCACGGACTTAGGACCAGAATAACTGCGTGTGAATCCGGGTTTGCCACTACCTGGATGTGTGACCTACTGCAAGTTACTTAACCTCTTTGTGCCTCAGTTTCCTGGTCTGTCAAAGGGAATAATATAGAAGCTAACTCAGAGGACTGTTGGATTGAGTGAGCACAAACGTGTTAACCACCTACGACAGGGCTTGGCACATGGTAGGTGCTCAGTATATGTCAGGATTTTCTGCAGCACCTGCTACCTCTGAGGAGACAGGTAGGGGAGCAAGGTGGGGTGTATTTGCAAGGCTGACTTCGCCGCAGAGAGGGCCCGCTGGGACCTGTTCACCCTGCACCCCGGTTCCCCCAGCGCGCAGCATGGTGCTCACAGGTGGTAGACTTGCACAGTTATTACAGCAGCAAAGGGATGCCGTGTAAAACAATGCTGGTGATGTGTGAGGGGTGAGGTGGAGTGGAGGAGGCGTGGTTTAACTTCTCCCAGCCTCAGTTTGCTCATCTGTTAAGTGGAGAGAGGTATATCTACCTCTGAGGGCTTTTGCAGGGAGCAAGGGGGAGGTCCCGCGTGAATGTACGTCGCCACCGTCATCACCCCCACATTCAGGTGGTTAGGCGGGATGGTGGACAGTGTGTACTTGTCTGTCCTTCCCTTTTCCCGTACCCTTGGTTTCTTGGAATTGTACCCCCCGGAAGGGGCTCAGGGCTGGTCTAGTTGGCCTGCCCCATTGTTTCACAGATAGGAAAACTTACAGTTCAGAGGGGACCGTGACTTGCTCAAGGTAACTGCTCATTGGGGCTGTCGCCAGCTTGGACCCTCAGGTGAGCTGTGGTGGTGGTGGTGGTGGTGATGGGGTTTTAGGTCTGTGTGTGTATATGTGTGTGAGAGAATGTTTTAAGAATAGTTAATGTAGTTTTTGTAAAAAATAAACAATACCAAAATGTAGAGGGAGGAAGGTAAAAAAATAACTCCAGATATAATCCCAGAACCAAACTTGAGTCATGTGATCAGGGCACAGGATGGTGGAGTAGGCAGGCACCCATGGGGTGGGGATCCAGAGGAGACTGGAGTGAATTTATGATGCTGCGTCGGTGGATTGAGGGTCATATTTAAAGAAGCTTGGGTTTGGGAGGAGACTGGGTGCAATAGAATTGATGTACAATTAATAAGTCACAGGAAATTCTTTCTACTATTGGGTAAGGATGAATCTTTCACATTGGTATCTTATTTAATTTTCCACTCAATGCTCCAAGATAGATATTAGACCCATTTTACAGATAAAGAGATTCTGGAAAGTTAAGTTACCTCGAGGTCATTTAATTTTTAATTGGCAGATGTGGGCTCCAGCTCAGATCCTCTGGCCCTGAGTCCAGGTCCAGCTCAGCAGAACCTGGTCAGTCTTGATGACAGGAGCCTGAGGTGCCTGGATTCCTTCGCAAGTCCCCGGTCCCTGAGTGAAGCTGTCTGCTGCCCTCAACTCAGCATCACTGTGCAGCACCTGCCATCCTCTGCTGTGACATGGCGCTCTCCGTGCCCAGTGCAGGCTGGGCTTAGAATGCAGACTTAGGGTCCTAGTATTTAAAATGGAAGGTCACAAGCTATACGACATCTGAGCCTCGTAGGTGAGGTGTCCTGAAAGTCCTAATGCAGCACATTTTCAGCTTTCCCAACTTCCGAAGTATGAATGTTACGAATTTGCTAAAGACATCATTTGAAAGTTTAAGTATTTAAATTTCTTTCATATTTATTTAGTCTCGTGAAATCTAAGTTTAATCTTTTGCTTTAGGCAATGCTTGCTGTCTTCACTTAGAGGGACTGCATTTTTATATGGGGTCTTTTTGCAAGTTCAAAGTATTCACACTTCTGACGTTGCTCAGCTGCCCTGTCTGCCATGCAGTTAGGATGGTTCTGAGCTTGCTGTTCACAGCCCGCTCACCATACAGACACATATGTGTACTGCATAAATGAAACGTGTTTGCAGGGCCGACCCTGTGGCATAGTGATTCAGTTCACACTCTGCTCCATCAGCCCGGGTTCACAGGTTCGGATCCCGGGTACAGACCTAAACTACTCGTCAAGCCGTGCTTTGGTGGCCAGCTGCATACAAAATAGAGGAAGACTGGCACAGATGGTAGCTCAGGCACAATCTTCCTCAAGCAAAAAGAGGCAACGAATGTTAGCTCAGGGCCAATCTTCCTCAAGCAAAAAGAGGCAGCAAATGTTAGCTCAGGGCCAATCTTCCTCACAAAAAACAGAAGTTTCCCTCAGAGGCTGGGTCAGGTGTAAGGTATAATCAGGGTGACACTTGGCTGGTGATGGGGTGTCCTCTGGGCTCTGAACAAGGGAGGGGTGAGCGCCTTCCAGGCCTTAGCTCATTAGCAAGCAGGCAGTCATGCTGTCCCCACTTCAGATCAGTGTAGAAATGCAGCGATGCCTCTGAAGCTCCAGAGGAAAGCCTGAGAGACAGTTCTGACTTAACTGTGCAAGCTCCCTACCCTGGCTTTAAAAACGAGCACATCTCTAAATGGGAACATTGGCCGCAAAGGCCATATGGAACGGTTGGAGAGGTATCTTCCCGTGGGTGTGTGAGCACGTTCTGACCCTCTTGGGAATCCGTGTTTCCGTGGTGCGGCCAATCCCCAGAGGGATGGCATGCTTTGCACGGATACTCCGAGCGTCTTTTTTGTCAACGTCACTGGCTCCTTTCAGCTGATAAATTTGGTTTTCAGCTGTCCGTCTCAGGCCTTTAATTCCTGACCTTCCCTGACAGACTGAGCCCCAGCTGGATCTTCCTCCCCTCTCCCTGCCCCTCCTCCTCGATGAAGACACAGAATAGGCCTCAACAAGGAAGGTCGGAAAGCCCTAGGCCGTAGCTTAAGTTGGAGGGGGTGTCTTTTCATTGTTGAATCTTACTAAGAAAGTACTTTTAAAGTTTTCAGCAGATAATTTGGCTCAGTGCAGCTGTTTCTGCCTTGTGTGTCTGGTGACAGTCTGTTTCTGGGTGACTAATTAATGGTTTACTCCTGTTCCTACACAGAAGTGCCCCAGAGACTCTGATGCTGTGGCTTTCGCTCTCGCTCCGGTCTTTGTTCTCCGTGAGAGGCAGGGTGGTGCCCTCCCTGCCTGTCGTTCACTGAGCTTCCGTCTGCCGGGCGCAGAATGCTAAGCTTCCAGAGAGCTGGGTCTTAGTCCCTGTGACGCCGGCTCCATGGGCATGTGACTGTTTCACCCATCTTTACGATATGATGAGGAGATGTGCGAGGTGGCCGCACGTCCCAAAACACTCATGTTAGCTCTCCTCTGGGTTCCGTGTTAGGCTGTGCCTGACCACGTGTCCTCCCTTGCCACCCTCCCCTGATGGTGAGCTGGGGAGGGGCCCCAGGGCAGGGGCCTGGTTTTTGTATGTGGCGTATCAGGCAAACTGACGTCCGACAGTCTTCCTCGGGGCAGGAGGCCTCCATGAGAGACTGGCTGGGCCTGTGTGAACCCTGGGGTTGCAGCCAGGATGCACCTTTCCATTCAAGGCAGAATGGGCGGGGACAGCCCTGACCTTGCTGAGCGGTGACCTTTCCAGCGGGGACCTGGAGCATGGCAGTGGAGGGGAAGTGGTGATTTCATGCCTGAGGATTCTTGTTTGTGCTAAAGGATTCTTGCGTGAGGTCTTACCCTGAAGCTAACTGCCTCAGTTTACTTGATCCTTATCTTCATTTTCATGATGAGGAAGAACCCCCTGGGTTAGACAGTTCTCAGTGTTTTTGCTGTGAAACTTCTTTATGATGTGAAATGACAATACTTTTAGAATCTAGTGATTAAAAAATCACATAACCATGGAAAGTTACTGTGACTTCTGTAACACTTTGGGTGAATTTGTGTTTTGCTGAACACAATAGCATATCCCTGAAATTTCTAAGTGGTGGTTATGTATATGTGCAGACGCACTTAATCTTGGGGTGGTGCTCGGACGCCTGGTCTGTGAACGCCCCCCACAATTGAGCACCTGGCATTTGGGACACCCGGTTATGGGTCCATTTCTTTCTGAGTGATCCGACAAGAAGCCACGCCTACTCCCTGTCCACTAAGACCGGAGGGCACGTCTTCCTATTTTAACACCTGTGGAGACACTGTTACGCCTGTACGAATGCTTTTTGTGCTTATAAAAATTATTTTTAGGCCTCTTCTCCCCTTACTAAGCCTCCTTCACTTCCCCTTGTGCTATGTTCTTAGCGTATGTGGGGACCTGAAATAATTTGCAGTGCACACCTAAAGGCGTTAGAGAGAGAAAGAGAACACGTGTGTGCACTTTACTTTATTAGAAAAGGTATGATATTTCACTCAGTGCCCCCAAAACTCGTCATCTCTGGGGCCAGCCTGCCAAGTTTCAATCCTGGTTCTGCTGCCGTGTGACCTTGGGCAAGTTACTTAGTCTCTCTGTGGCTCAATGCCTCGTGTTAATTGTGAACAATAATAGTTCTTCCCGCATAGGGTTGCTGTGAGGATTAAATGAGTGAACAGACGTAAAGCCGTAGAATAGTGCTGGCACGCGGTGAGCACACGCCCCACAGACATTAACCCTTGTGATCACTGTTAGTTATCACTTTACTTGCATGGTGGTAGTTTTATGTAGATTGCTAATCAACTTTGATTCCGTTGTGTAGTTATTTTCATGTGACATTATGGTTGAGAAGTTACCTGTATGAATCATTTTTTTGTAATGGAAGTTTCAGATTACAATGGTAATTTTATTTCCTTTTAAATTTTTTTAAGGACAAGACTTAAACCTATCTGGGATAGAGAATATTTAACCATTTAGCTAAAAATGGTATTTTTTACATGCAATGCATGTGGTGAATCAGTGAAGAAAGTACAAGTTGAGAAGCACGTGGCTATTTGCAGAAACTGCGAATGCCTTTCTTGCATTGACTGCGGTAAAGATTTCTGGTAAGTTCCACATAATTCCTGTAGATCCATAGTAAAGGTCCAGATCAGTTTTGGAAGCCCCGACCCCCCAAAGCTTTAAAAAAAAAAAAAAAATGAAGCAAATTTGAGGAAAGAAATTAAGAAAAAAATTAAAAGTGCTTTACAAGACCATTTGCTTTTTAAGGACGGTTTAAAGAGACGACTAAGGGAAAGGGAGTAGAGGGGTTAGATCTGATCAGTCTGTGGCGCTCGCTGTCCTCTCCTTTCACCATTACCAGACCCAGGGAGGTGACCACGCCAAGTCAGGTTTCAGGGGTGCCGTGTGTTGATCACACTGAAGGGATGGATTTATAGACCAGAAAATGAATTAATTCACAGTGGGGGGATATCTGGGAGAAGAGCCTAGGTCCTCCCCAGAAATTTGGAGGTGACAGGGAGAGTCAGCTCTTCCTGGCCCTTCCACTGAGGGCGCCCCTGGTCAGGTGAGGACACAGCAGGAGGGGACCAGATGCGCTGTGTCTGCAGCAGGGCCATTTACAGATGGCTAATGCTGATTCCCTTCAGCTTCAGAGGCTTCAGGTGGAAAGGCAGCTTTTGGGGCATCTGCCCCAGTGTCCTCTGTGGCATTTGGATGATATTTGCTAACAATTTATTTTAATTTCATTCTACAGAAGTGATATTTAAAAAAAAGTTTTGGGGAGCTGCCAAAGTCTTTGTTTATACTCAGTCCTAGGAAGAAGCTTGATATATAAAACCGGAGAAATTTGGGCTATTTCTCCATAGAGGACTTTGCCCAGACCTTGTCCCAAACATCTCCTTGAGGACCCCAGAGGGCTTCAAAAAGATTATATGAGACAGACTTGAGTTTCCTTTTTTCCAAGATTCTGAGATCCAGAACTTGTTAGTAACCTGATACCACCATTTTATACCAGCTTTTCTTTTTTTAATCTTCTTCTCCCCAAGCCCCCCTGGTACATAGTTGTATATTCTAGTTGTGAGTGCCTCTGGCTGTGCTCTGTGGCATGCCGCCTCAGCATGGCTTGATGAGTGGTACCATGTCTGCGCTCAGGATCCGAAGCGGCGAAACCCCAGGCCTCTGGAGCAGAGCACATGAACTTAACCACTCCGCCACAGGGCTGGCCCCTATACCAACTTTTAACTTATTCTACAATGGATTATTGATTGTCTACTATATTACCAGGAAATCATACAGATTTTGTAATTTAAGATAAAGCCACCCTATTGCAAAGAATTATTTTCTTTTTTATTCTGTACATATTCACTTATGACAAAAAAACATATTATGTATCAATTTGGTTTAAGATGTTAGTATATAAAAATGGATGGAAAGTTTCGTGGTGGGTTTTATATTGATTAGTTTGTAGGAAGGAATGTGGCTATGACCAGGGGGTTATAAGCATAGTTAGTGAAATAGGTGGGGTACTTGTGCAGTGGACAGGTGTGAAATACAAGTGTGGCCCGCAGAAGGTAGGAGCAGCATGCTCGAGTGAGACAGAGACTCCAATTTGAGCATCAATCTAACGGTGGAACCTTTTATCACTTTAAGGGGTGACGACTATAAAAATCATGTGAAATGCATAAGTGAGGATCAGAAGTATGGTGGCAAAGGTTATGAAGGTAAAACCCACAAAGGCGATATTAAACAGCAGGCATGGATTCAGGTAAGGTCTTTCTGCTTCATCGTGTAGCTTCATCTGACATCTTCCACTTTCTTTGGAAGCCTGAGAAACTAAGAATAAATGCCTATCTATGCAGACCAGACCCAGAAACATGTTAGGATAGACCTAGGTTGAGCAACTAAACCTTCTTGAAAAAGAATTCTTTATTTCTCTGTTAATACAGTTGCAATGTATTTTGCCTTTAATCCATATGTTTTACACGTTTCTTGCAGAACTATTTCAGAATTCTCACTAGCTTTCCGTTGGCTAAGCTAGTGTATCTGCTTCTAGTGATAATGCAACTTTTATAACTCAAACCATGTTAATCTCTCATGTCTGTCAGTCATCAGACTGGGCAAAATAAAGACATTTTCATAGATATGAGGAATTTTCTACTTAACTAAAATAAAACAAAAACATGTACAAGAAAAATGGCAAAATCAACAAAATCCCTAATTCACCGAGAGGTATGACTTCCAGAACGTTATTCACCTTTTACAGAATAGATAGCAGGAGGAAGGATTCAGAAAGGAAGGTGGGAGAAAGAAGACAAACGTCATCTGTGGAAATTCTGAATTTTCCTAGAAACCAAATAAATAGTTACTCCCTTTGACGATAGAGCTTAAACCTGAATTTGCTAATATGGACCAGCTTACTGAGTTAGCTGACTCCTGGGGGGGAAGTCTTCTGTTCACTAGGGACTAACCAAGGCTGCCCAGTGCAGATTGGGGAGCTAGTGAAACCCCTTATCTGAACTAAGATATTTAAGCTGGCGACCGTCAGCCACACTTTTGGGCACTGTATCTGTAATCTCCCTGAGGACCAGGTGATACTCCTAGGCCCCTGAGCTGAAGTACCTGGGTGTGTGAGTTCCTTCTCTGTTGCCATCACATCTTGAATGAAATCCTCTACAGCATGGGTTAGCCAGTGGGTCAAATCCGGCCACCCCCCTTTGTAAGCAGTTTTATCGGCCCCCAGCTGTGCCCATTAGTCTACATACCGTCCGTGGCTGCCTTAGTGCTGCAAGGGTGGTGCCGAGTGGTCAGGCCCTGAACGGATGGTCCGCAGAGTTTAAAATCTTCACTCTCTGGCCCTCTGCAGAAGAGGCTTGCTGACCCTGCCCTAAACTGTCAGGCTTCAGCAGCTATGTCACCGTCTCAGCAATCAGGAACTTGTCTTCGGGGTCTGTCATGGTCCACTCACCCTCTGATTCTGATTCCTCCCTAACTCCCTGGTTGACGTTGTTAACAGACGGATAAGACTAAATGTGGCGTGCTGGGGGGATAAACGGGGCCTCCTGTGACCCATCTGACAGAGATGGATTTGGGGGTTTTGTTCTTTTCCTTAAATCCTTAAAACCTTTATTTTTAAAGACTGAATTTTGAAATCCTGTCAGTGTTAATGTTCGCCGAGCATCCTTCCAGATGTCTCTGGGCTTACACACAGAGTGGATCAATGGGTCAGGGAGAGATATCCCGCTGTCTTGGGTCACAGCGTTTCCTCCACACTGTTGCCTGTGCCCTGTCCTCTCCTGACTCTGAGCTCGCTGCTCCAGCCGCTGCTGAGCCAGCCTGACTTCTGCCGTGTTCGTCTTTTTCTTGATTTGTTTTCCTCCCTGGAGAGGTTTGCCTTATCCTCGCCTGAGTATCCTGTATCCATTTTTTTCTAGTCTGTTTATATATAGCTTCCGTTCTTTCCTAACACAGGGACATTTTCCTGCATTGTGTTTGTTTAGCCGCATCATTTGTCCGTATTTGGCTCATCGGTGACCATCATGTCTCCCTGACTTTAATCAGTACCTTTCCTCTGCCTTCACTGTGATTGCCATAAGCATTTTCTTAGGTCACTTATTTAATTTTAATCTCTGTTCTGTTTTTGCTATTTCAGATTTATTTATCAGATCTTAATACTATTGTCTTGGTCCTCAATTAATTTCCTAGTACCTATAATATCCATTTTTGTCTGATTCTTTGGATTACTTTTGGTTTGTTTATACATTTTTTCCAGTGTTTTTAATTTGTGGTAAATTATACATGACATAAAATTTACCATTTTAACCATTTGTAAGTATACAGTTAAGTACACTCACGTTGTGCAACCATCACCACCATCCATCTCCAGAACTTCTTCATCATCGCAAACTGAAACTCTGTCCCCAGTAAACAACAATTCGCCGTTCTCTCTTTCCCCAGCCCCTGGCCCCCACCATTCTACTTTCTGTCTCTGAATTTACTGCTCAAGCTACCTCCTATAAGTGAAATCATACAGTATTTGTCCTTTTGTGACTGGCTTCTTTCACTTAGCATGTGATGTCCTCATAGTTCATCCATGTTGTTGCACATGTCAGAATGTCCTCCCTTGTTAAGGTTGAGTGGGATTCCATTGGATGGATGGACCACGTTTTGTTTATCCATTCATATGTTGGTGGACACTTGTGTTGCTTCGTCTTTGGGCTCTTGTGAATAATACTGCTGTGAACATGGGTGTGCAAATATCTGTTCGAGTCCCTGCTTTCAGTTCTTTTGGGCACATACCCAGAAGTGGAATTGCTAGATTTTTAAAGTTTTTTGAGGAACCTCCATACTCTTTTCCATGGTGGCTGCACCACTTTACATTCCTACTAGCAGTCACAAGGCTTCCAATTCCTTCACAGCCTCCCCAGCATTTATTTTCTATTTTTTTGATAATAGGCATCCTAAGAGGTATGCAGTGGTACCTCATTGTGGTTTTGATATTTGTTTCCCTATTGATTGATAATGTTGAGCATCTTTTCATGTGTTTTTTGGCCATTTGTATATCTTCTTTGGAGAAATGTCTGTTCAAGTCCTTTGCCCAGTTTTTAATTGGGTGGTTGTTTTTTTTGTTGTTGAGTTGTAGTTCTTTACATATTTGGGTAATTAACACCTTATTGGATAATGATTTGCAAATATTTTCTTCCATTCCATGAATTGCCTCTTCACTCTGTTGATAGTGTCTTTGATGTACAGAAGTTTTAAAATTTTGATATAGTTAGTCCAATTTACTTTTTTCTTTTTTGTGCCTTTGGTGTCATATACAAGAAATCATTGCCAAATCCAGTGTTGTGTCACTTTTCCCTGGTGTTTTCTTCTAAGCATTTTATGGTTTTAGCTCTTACATTTAGGTCTTTGATCCATTTTGAGGTTTTTTTTTTGAGAACGATTGGCCCTGAGCTAACATCTGTGCCCATCTTCCTCTACTTTATATGTGGGACGCCTGCCACAGCATGGCTTTATAAGTAGTGTGTACGTCTGTGCCCAGGATCCGAACCGGTGAACCCCGGGCCGCAAAAGCAGAGCGCATGAACTTAACCACTATGCCACTGGGCTGGCCCCACCATTTTGAGTTTATTTTTGTAAACGGCATTGGGTAAGAGTTCAATTTTACTCCTTTGCCATGGATATTCACTTATCCCAGCACCATTTGTTGAAAAGACTGTTCTTTCCACATGACTGGTCTTGTCACCGTTGCTGAAAATCTTTTGGCCATATATGCATGGGTTTACTTCTGGGCTCTCTATTCCACTGGTCTGTCTGTCTGTCCTTATGACAGTAGCCCACTGATTCGATTACTCTAGCTTTGTAGTAAGCTTTGAAATCAGAAAGCATGAGACGTCCAACTTTGTTCGTTTTCAAGATGTTTTGAGATTCCATGTGCATTTTAGGATGGAGTTTTCTATTTCTGGAAAAAGAAAAATTGTCAACTGGATTTTGATTGAGATTACATTTGAATTTGTAGATCACTTTGGTTAGTATTGACATCTTAATGATACTAAGTCTTCCAATCCACCAACACAGAATGTCTTTCCATTTATTTGTGTCTTTCATCTCTTTCAGCATTAATTTACAGTTTTCAGTGTACACGTCCTTCACCTCCTTGGTCAAGTTTATTTCTAAATATTTTACTTTTTTTGGTGAGGAAGATTGGCCCCAAGCTAACATCTGTTGCCAGTCTTCCTCTTCTTTTGCTTGAGGAAGACTGTCCCTGAGCCAACATCTGTGGTAATCTTCCTGTAGTTTTTGTATGTGAGATGCTGCCACAGCATGGCTTGATGAGTGGTGTGTAGGTCTGCCCCTGGGATCTGAACCCCAGGCTGCCAAAGCAGAGCGTGTAAACTTAACCACTACACCACTGGGTCGGCCCGTAAATATTGTGTTCTTTTTGATGCTATTGTAAAGGAATTGTTTTCTTAATTTCCTTTTTGGACCATTCATTGTTGGTGTATAGAAGTAGAACTTCCTTTTTGAGCATGGATTGCGTGTCCTGCCACTCTGCTGAATTTCATTGGTTCTAACAGGTTTTCTCCTGGAGGTCTTTAGGGTGTTCTACTATAAGACCATGTTGTCTGGGAACAGAGATAATTTTACTCCTTCCTTTCCAATTTGGATCCCTTTTCTTTCCTGTTCTTGCTTACCTGCTCTGGCTAGGACTTCCAGTACTGGAGCGAATTCGTGAGCAGAGACACTGATACAGAATCTGGACTTGAAAGGTGAACCCTGTATCCATTAGTAGGACACTTTAGTTTGGCTTTCGTGAAACTCACATGTCAGGTATTTATTGTTTTTGTTTTCTCTTCCTTTTTTGCAGAAAATTAACGAATTAATAAAAAGACCCAATGTCAGCCCCAAAGTGAGGGAACTTTTAGAGCAAATTAGTGCTTTTGACAATGTTCCCAGGAAAAAGGCGAAATTTCAGGTATGTGTTTGATCTGACTCCCGACTGGAGGGGATGCGTAGCTCCTTGGTGACTGAGCATGTGCCTGTCAGAATGGGCTAAGGGGGGGGTTTCTTCCTTCTGTTCCTTACAGAATTGGATGAAGAACAGTTTAAAAGTTCATAATGAGTCTGTTCTGGAGCAGGTGTGGAATATCTTCTCGGAAGCTTCCAGCACTGTAAGTCAGATCTAATTTTAAATTTGTAGTGTGGCAAAAATGATTAGTCAGAATGAAATGGGAATGTCTTGTCTTCGGAGGTCAAAACAGCCTTCTTTTTCAGAGCGCCTCTGTGTGCCTTCATTTATGGGAGGAATAAACTGAGTGCACTGCAGAGAAGATGTCCTTATTGTGCAGAGAAAGGCATTTAATCCCCGTGTTTGATAACAAGAGCAGCTAACTGGAAGTACTGGCTTAAACATCAGGCAGCGGATGCGCTGGAAAGAACAGGCGCTCTGGGTGTCTGACACACCTGGTTGGAATCCCTGCTGTGCTGTTTGCCGCACATTTGATCTTGTGCACATTATTTAACCTCTCTGAGCCTCAGCCTCCTTTTCTTAGAAAAATGTGGATGATCATCTTCATTCATTTATTCGGTACTTACTGAGTGCCTGATCTGTGCCAGGCTCTGAACAAAAAATATAAAATATCTTGGGTGGTGATAGTGCCATGAGGAAAATAAACAGGGCGAGGACGTCGAGAGTGACTACGAGTCCTCTCGGGTGGGGGTGGGGGTCCCAGAGCGCCCTTACAGCTGCGCTAGTACAGCAGACGAGGCTATAAAAGCGTCCCCTCCTGCCCTGCGTTTGGTGGGCACTCGATGAGCGTTCATCTCCTTCCTTCTGGTGGAGGGAGAATTCCCTTAGAGTAGCTCAGTCACCCGCCTGTCAAAGTGGTTTCATCGGAGACCCCGGGTGTAATATACAGGTGCAGAGTCTCATTTGATATCCGCTAGCACACTGTTGGTTACATTGTTAATTTAAAATTTTCCCATTAATTCACTTGTATTTGCTCCTATTTGGAGCTTATATCCCATTTGGAGACTTACATTAGTAGTAGTTTGAAAAAAGGTAGTGGGTGTTTTATTCTAATCACATTGTCAAGAGTTGTTTTGCTTTATAGCAAGGAAATAGTTTTTGTATTAAATTGGGATAAAAATGAAACTTTATCTTGGCAGTCTAGCCTTTGTCTCTTTCAGAATATATGAATTGGACCTTTGAAACCTTATAAACAGTCATTTAATTGGCATTTATGTGGCAGCTGTTTTTTAAAGGTTATTTCCTTTATTTTAACTAAGAATCAAATATTTGAAATTACCTAGTTCGACTATATAGTTTAAAAAAAGTCTTTCCCATTTCCCTTCTGAAGCTGCGAGCATGTTAAGAATTAAAAACGATAATCACTAACAGCTCGTGGTAACTCTGAGTCTGAGAAATATGTGTGCTTGCCTTGCCTTTGCCCCCTGAGCCTCACAGCATGCCCCAGTGTGTGGATGTGCCGTCCGTTCACCTGCAGTGTTCGTCGTCCTGTTGCTCTGCACCGGCCTGAGGTTGGGTGCTTCACCTCCTCCTCTACCATGGGACCATCTCTAGCCCCGCATACATCGTACCTGGTGTTGTGGGTGCAGCATAATCAGGCCGAGGTCCTGCCTTCACAGACTGTGCTCTAGTCGGGGAGACAGACACATGCGGATGTGGGTTTGTGCTCTAATGTCAGGTCATGATAGGCGCCAGGAAGAAACAGAAGGTGGGGGGAAGGGGCAGAGTGAAGCAGGCACTCTGTTAGGTGAGAGTCAGTGGAGGCGTCGCTGAGACCTCATTTGAGGAGAGCCTGGCATGAAGTAGAAAGAAGACGGGGCATGAATTTGTCTAGTCATTTCTTGAGTGCCTGTGGTCTCCCACCCTCCCTCTCCTCCCTCCAGTGGCGAGGAGTTGGTCTGGACGTGGAGGGGACACACCAGCTAGAGACTGGGGCTGACGTGTGCTGAAGGAATACCCGACTGTCAGACAGGAACAGAAGTGCGGGATGGGTGGGGAGTGTCTTTGTCCCCTTCTTCCGCCCGAGTCCGGTGCTGAACTCTGCTCTGCCTTCGACCCCGCATGCGTCTGGACTAGTGGATTTCTCTCAACTGCTGCCGAGAAAACGCCAACCATTTAGTTGAATGTCCGTCTCCTAAATGCTGCTCTTCTGGGCAGGGGCGAGCGTCCGGGTCTGAGTGAGGCGTGGCCTCTGTAGAGTCTTGTGCGCGAGCAAGAGCCGGCCCTTCTTTATTTGGTCCACCTTCGGGGGCAGTAGTTCTCCCTTGTGACTGAGTCTCCTGAAGGCGCAAGACTGGAGGTGACTGTCTGAGTCACCTGGCTGGTGACTAACAGAGATGGAACTTGGGCCCAGGTCTGCAGATGCTTAAGTCCAGTGGTTTCTACCACAACTGAAGCGGCCTGAGAGCTCCTGCCATTGACCCCCTCCTTCCCCCCCAGACGCATTAGGGCTCCCAGAGCAGTTCAGCAGATTGCTCATGTCGTCTCCTGAGAAGGGGCTGGCGTAGAGACTCTAGCGTATTTAGAGTCAGGGAGCACAGCAGGCACTGGGACTAGCCATGCTGATCTGTGCTGATTTGGATAGGGTATTGCAGTAAACGGACAGCTGACCTTGTTCCAGTGCTTGTGGTTATTTAGTTCCCCATGGTTCCTGACCCTCCGTCCAGGTGTCCCTGACCCCTCCTCTAAGGTAGCCATCTAATCTGAATGAGGATGATAATAACAATACCTCTGTCTAGTCCTCGATAGTTACAAAACCCTTCCCGCTCACCGGGCCCGTTTACTGGGCATGTCCCGTGCTAAGCACATGACATATCTTATTTGATTCGTGCATCAACTGCATAAGGTAGGTGTTACTACCTTTGTTTTATAGATGAGGAAATTGGTTTAGAGCAGCTAAATAACTTGCCCTGAGTCACCTGGCTGGTCGTGAACAGAGCTGGAACTTGAACCCAGGTCTGCAGATGCATAAATCCAGTGGTCCTGCCACATCTAAGTGCTCGTCTTATTGCAAAGAAAAGTGAATAGTGAGCCACAGTTAAAGGTCTGGCTTGCGTGACGGAAGGATGCTTCAGTTTTCCCTTGGAATGAAAATGTCTGTTAAATGCAGAGAGGGGTGTGGGCCGGGGCAGTTATTCCCAGTTCGTATATTTATTGCTATATTTTAGCTATTGTTTAGCATTTAGCACAGTTATAAAATGGTAAGTAATAAAGACATTTTTCTTGGAACATTTTCTTCAGTAGATACATGCAATGATGTGAACAACTGTGTCTGGAATGAGTATTTATGTGTTTCTTGGTTTTGCTTAATAATAAGGAACCTGTCAGTAAGGAGCGAGATCAACAGCCACTCAACCCAGTGGCGGATCCACATGCAGAAATCTCCGCCAAGGTTCCATGTTCCAAAGCAAATGATACCACGGAAGAACAAGCAAAGGTGAAGAAGAATAAAAGAGAAAGGAAGGAAGAACGGCAGAAGAAAAGAAAAAAAGAAAAGAAAGAACTAAGATTAGAAAACCACCAAGAGAATTCAAAGAGTCAGAAGCCCAAAAAGCGCAAAATGGGGCGGGAGGCCGAGCAGGAAGCTGGAGGGGAGGACAGCCCCAAGGCCAGCGGCTCCGCAGGGAAGCCTAGCCAGAGGAAGAGGAGCAAGGGCTTGTGCGCCGAGGACGGGGCAGTGGCTGGAGGCGTGGACGAGGAGGAGGCAAAAACCGGTCCAGGAAAGAGAAAGCGGAAGCATTCGGAGAGTACGTGGCTAGCTTATGTTCCCGGGCTTGTTAAAAACATTTTGAAGCTGTGAATTTGGGATACATAAAATCCATTAGACCTTGCATTTTGAACCAAGTAAGGCAAAGAGCATAAGCTTAGGGATCGGGCCGACCTGGGCTCAGTCCAGGCAAGTGACCTCCCTCTCAGCTCCCCATCTCCTCATCTCACGTGGAGGAGGAGAAACCCCACGGTGCTGGTTGCTTGGGGAGTGGGAGAGGTGATGGATGTAAGGGGCCTGACCATGTATGGCTCTCGTTAAATGGTAGCTTCTGTCATAAATGCAAAATCTTTTTCTTTCAATCTTTCTAATTACTTAGTTGAAGCAGAGTCCAAGAAGAAAAAGATAAAGTTCCCAGGACATTCTGAGGGTGAAGAACCAGAAAACCATGAGGCTTCTGCAAAAGGTATTGCTGCCATCATTTGGAAAGCTTTGCCCTCCTTAGGGTGGGGAAGGAGGAGGGGAAGCAGGGCTTTCTGGCAGGTCGTACCCTCCAGAGGCATGTGGAAAAATCTGAAAGCAAAGTAAGTTCTGTAGGATGTGACTCCAAAGAAATGAATGAGAACTGTGTGAGCCACTCTTACAGTGTCTCTGTCTAGCTTTAAAGATAAAAAGTAAAGCTGTCTGGATTGGAAATAGATACTGTCTTTGGAATTTAAAATAAACCCAGCATGACTCTCTGAGCCCCTGCTCCTTTTCCCCTCTCCTTGCTTCCCCTGTCGCTGCCTCTCATTACTCTCCTAGACGTGCCCTGAGGTCCAGCCAGACTCGGCTGTTCCCTCTCCCCACGTCTGGGCCTGTTCCTGGTGTCTCCTTGCTTGAAACTCCATGGCCACCTCCCTAAGCTAGAAGGTGTATTTGTCAGAATCCATTCCCTGGCCTTCCAGCTTCCTCTTAACTGCTGCCTCCTCCACAAAGCTGCTGCTACTCCTCAGGCCCGAAGCCTTCCCTAGGCTCCTGCCAGTCAAGAACAGACCCGAGGACTCAAGTGGGAATCGAGGCTTTATTAACGGAGGGTCAGTGACTGCCCAAGTTGGGTTAGATCTCTTAGCTTGGAACCCTTCCCCAACTTTGTATAAATGAGGCTTTTCTGAAAATAAATTTTTCGTTTTGAGATAATTGTAGATTGACATGCAGTTATGTGAAGTGATGCAGACTTGTGTATCCTTATGTATCCATGTATCCTTTCCCCAGTTTCCTCCAAGGGTAACACCTTACACAGCTATAGTACTGTCTCTCCCCAGGGTGTTGGCACTGACAGAGTTAGGAGACAAAGGTTTCCATTGTGCAAGGATCCTCCTGTTGCCCTTTTATAGCCACGCCCACTTCCCCCTCACTCCCACCCGCTTCTTTGCCCCAGCAATCACTAATCTGTTCTCCATTTGTATAATTTTGTAATTTCAGACTGTTGCATTTAGTATGTAACCTGAGATTTGCTCTTTTCACTCAGCATTATTCTCTGGAGATTCATCCAGGTTGCTGCACATATCAATAATCTATTCCTTTTCGTTGCTTAGTAGTAGTCCATGGCATGGATGTACCACAGTTTGTTTAACCATTTGTCTACTGAAGGATACCTGGACTATTTCCAGGTTCTGGTTATTATGAATAAAGCTGCTGTAAACATTCATGTACAAGTTTTTGTGTGAACATACATCATTTTTTCTGGAATGTATGTTCAGGAGTACAGTAGCTGTGTAGTATGGCAGTTGCATGTTTAGTTTTTTAAGAAACTGCCAACTTTTTCAAGAGTGGTTGTACCGTTTTATATTCCCACCAGCAATGTGTGTGTGATCCAGTTTCCCCACATCCTGGCCAACATTTGGTGGTGGTACTGTTTTTTTAGCATTCTGATAGGTATGTAGTAAAGCTTATAGTGGTTTAAGTTTGTATATCCCTAATGATGTTGAATATCTTTTCATGTACTTATTTGCCATCTGTGTATCTCTTCATTGAAATGTCTGTTCTTGTCTTTTGCCCATTTTCTAATTGGATTGTTTGTTTGTTTTACCTGTTGAGATTTGAGAGTTCTTTATATATTCTAAATATTAGTCCTTTGTGGGATGTGTGGTTTGCAGGGTTTTTTTTTTTTCCCCAGTCTGTAGCTTGTCTTTTCATCCTCTTAACAGAATCTTTTGTAGAGTAAAAGTTTTTAATTATGAAGAAATCTAATTTATCTGCTTTTCCTCTAATAGATCATACTTTGGGTGTCAAATTTCAGAACTCTTTGCCTAACCCTAGATCTCAATGATTTTTTTCTTATTTTTTTCTAAATGTTTTATAGTTTTACATTTTATACTTAAGTCCATGATCCATTTTGAGTTAATTTTTAGGAATATTAGCCCTGAGCTAACATCTGCTGCCAATCCTCCTCTTTTTGCTGAGGAAGACTGGCCCTGAGCTAACGTCTGTGCCCATCTTCCTCTATTTTATATGTGGGATGCCTGGCACAGCATGGCTTGATAAGTGGTGTGTAGGTCCATGCCCAGGATCTGAACCAGTGATCCCTGGGCCGTTGATGCAGAGCACATGAACTTAACCACTATGCCACCAGGCAAGCCCCCATATGGAGTTAGTTTTTATATAGAATATGAGACTTAGTTCAAGGGTCATTTTTTTGCCCATCAATGTCTAGTTGCTCCAGCACTATTTGTTGAAGAGGCTATTTTTTCCCTCATTGAATTGGTTTTGCACTTTTGTCAAAAATCACTTGGGGTATTTGTATAGGTCTATTCTGGGTTCTTTATTCTATTTCGTTGATTGTGTATCTGTCCTTCTACCAATACCACACATTCTTGATTACTGCAGCTATCTACAGTAAACTTGAAGTCTTGAAATTGTGTAGGCTTATTTCTCCCACTTTATTCTTTTCAAAATTAAGTTTTAGAATAATCTTGTCTATATCTACAAAAAAATCTTGCTGTGATGATGTAGGAATTGGATTATACCTGTATATTAATTTGGGGAGAATTGGTATATTTACCCTATTGAGTCTTCCAATCCATGAACATGGTATATCTTTCTATTTATTTAAATCTTTGATTTCTTTGATTAGCATTATGGATTTTCAGCATACAAATCATCTTCTTCCCAGGAGCAGAAGTCCCACAGATGAGTCTTTTAGCCCACTGTATAGTAATTATTTGTGGCTGTCCCCTCTCTTATTCAAGGTTAAGCTCCTTTTGCTCATCTTTGTCTTGCTTACTGCTCTTGGACAGCCCCGTGATCTTAGTGGATGCTTAGTAAATCTTCTTTAGTTCATTAGATACCACTCTGTCTTTTTACAGGAACTTGTAGTAGTGATGGTACTTAGGATACTTAGTTAACCTGCTCACTCTAAGAACGAGTACTGTGAGGGTAGTCAGTACTGCTAGGCCACTGTGATTGGATGGGTCAAGTGCCTGCTACACGGTACCATGGTGTCCTGTTCATTCAGGGTTAGTTCATTTTCCAGGTAGCAAAGAGATGTTGCAGAAATCATTTCTTTATCTTCCTGGTGATATAACAAAACAAAATGTTTTACAGATTATTCTTTATATTATAGGTAAATTCAACTGGAAGGGAACTATTAAAGCAGTCCTGAAACAGGCCCCAGATAACGAAATAGCAATCAAAAAGCTACGGAAAAAGGTATGGTGTACGAACCCAGGTATATAATCTCAGGACAATCAGTTCTTTATTTTAAAATGTACAGTTTGTTGTTTTAATCTGAAATACTATAAATGTCGTGTATCTTGGTGACTTTCATGCTGCTCCAGGAGCCCCTCAGGGTTTGTGGGGAGGGAATGGGGCCAAGTCCCATGACACTTCCTCAGCCACTGCAGTGCCTATATTAAATGTGAAAATTATTGTTCTAGATGTTTTTCTATCTTTTGATTATTCCAGAGCAATGGTTTCTTCTTTTTGTTTAATTCTTCATCAGTGTCTGACACAGGTAAAGTGCTCATGTGTGTACAGTTGCACAAGTTTTCACAAGCAGAACACACCTGTGTAACCAGCACCTGGCTTGCTATTATTTTTTACTATTGGTCTACTTCTGGATTAAAGGACTTTTTAGGTCAATTTTCAGGACAAATACACCCATTTGACGGTTGTTTCTCTTTGTGAAGGTTTTAGCTCAGTATTATGCTGTGACAAATGAACATCACAAATCTGAAGAGGAGCTTCTGGTCATCTTTAACAAGAAAATCAGCAAGAACCCCACCTTTAAGTTATTAAAGGACAAAGTCAAGCTTTTGAAATGAACATTTTTATATTTAAACATTGAATCCATTCTCTTGATTTCTTCCTTTCACTGCTGTTTGTAAAACATGTAATGAATTATAACAACTCATTTTCCTTTCCAAAGTTGTATTTTTAAGTTAAGAAAAATATATATTTTTGGTAGAACTTTTATGAGAAAGTAAAATATATTCTTGTCCAAAATTCTAAATTTGTGGTGAAAATTATTATACTTTAAAAAACACTTTAATATGGAAAATATTTTTAAATGTGACAAGTCAAAAAATAATTCCTCCTCTGGTCAGACTAAAAAGTAGTTGTTTTAACTACATCATTGCTATGCATTTTCAATTAGAGGTTTTCGTGGGTTGGTTTTTGTGTTGTTAGAATGCATATGTGAGTTGCAGCATTTCATCCAGGGACGGCCATAACAACGATCTTGTGTGAGTGATAACCCTTACCTCGCCAGCAGTTCCGCTCTTTAGAGGCTGTTTCTCTGTAACAGTTTGGCCTGTCTACGCTGTGGCTCAGTCTATCTTCAGCCAAAGAGAGATTTGCAGTGAGTGGATTTTGGAGTGTGGCCTGTGACCAGGTTCAGAGAAATAGCTCGTTTGAGACCGAATCCAGTATTTAGCTGTATTGCTGTTCCGGTGATCCAGTGGCTTGAAACGCTGTCAGAAACGGTATTGTAAGTCCTAGTTGATTGTGCTGGAGGAGAGCTGTGTGCCACTTTTTGATATTTGAGTAGATTTTGCCAGAAGTCCCTTCAAAGCTGGTGCGTGTGGTGAGCGTCAGCCCTTTAACCCAGTGTTGACTGTCATCGTTAACAGTACCTCCCGGTACAGGGGAAAGCAAGGGTGGGACACGGAACAAGTGTTAAAAGGACCAGGCGAGAGGATCAACAGGAGGAGGGGGCAAAGGGCCCACAGAGATGCTCTCTGAGCCTCTGAGTTCCCGGATGAGCCAAGGAGCCGGCCTCTCCCTGGACTTGCAGGTGAGCTGAGTGGCACTGTCTCGTTCTGATTTGGGGACGAGCCTCTGTGTAATGAGGGGATTCAGTGGCACTGTGTCAGGATGAAGGAGGACCTAGGCTTGAGAATCAGGTCCCGGCTTGGCCTCTTAATAGGTAACCCTCTGAACCTCACTTTTTTCGTCTGGATAATGGGACAGTACAGGTCGCTCCTGGGTTGTGAGTGAATGAACTAACCCGTGTAAAGCTCACAGCACCATACCTAAAACCCGGTAGACAGTCCTTCAGTGGTTGCTGTCGCTACTGTTAGTGTTACCAGTAATAGTTTTGAGCCATGAGAAGCTTTAGATGTTTTGGAATGCAAAGAAGAAGTGAAGTTTGACCCAGACCACATGTTCAATTAGGGACGAAAGCAGAGCCCAGCTGTGACTCCTGAGGCCAGCCCAGGACGTCTTCCTGCTCCAGGGAGCAGAGTGTGCTCCACTGTCCTCCCAGTGCACAGTGAGGGTGCAGAGCTGCTCCTGAGGGTCACATGTCGATGTACCAGCACTACAGTATTTCAAGATTTATGCTGATTTCTATCTTTCTTTTAGTTTTACTGTGGTGCATTTAAGGCAAAATTAAGGCAAATGTGACAAAACTAAAACATAAACTGTGGTAGGGTCCTCATTTCTGCCATCCTTGTAGCCACTACCCAAGGTTCTTGAGTTAGAACTTGCCAGCAGCACAGGGCAGACATGGGGTGGCTGCTCAGGCATGCCAGCAGAGCGTCCATGCAGTGGGGCTGCAGGAGGTGGCCTCTCAGTTCCCTCGAGCCCCACGAGGATGAAGCAGTAAGCCTAGCCATGGCCATTTTGAACGATCAGTGTCACGGAAGGGTCTCTTCATTGGAAACTGCAGTGGTGGCGGGAAGGGGCCCCATGCCTGCAGCTGCCCCTGTGGGTCTGGCTGCAAAGCACAATCCACAGGTCCCTCCCGCGGTTCTTTCACAGACCACCCTTGGTTTTGGCAGTCGCTTGCCTGACTTGGACTCAGACACACACGCTACTGGAGCTGCAAGGACTTTAGAAACCAATCTCATGGTATTTGTGTCAGGCTTTACAGCTTCATTTTGTCACTGGTTTCCTTATCTGGGACCTTACTTTCTGGCATTTGTCCACCATGTGCACTGGCCATTTTCTGTGATGCTGCTTATAGGCAGGATTTGGGAGAAGATGGGCTGTATCTTGCCTTCCAAAGGATTCAGATGCGCAACTGTCTTAGGCTGGGGCCCTCCTCTTGTCAGACCCACGAGGCGTCTGCAGTCCCAGGAGGAAACCGAGGCCAGGCAGGAGAGAATCCAGGGCTGCCCTTCCCTCTAACCAGCTGTGACAGCCAGATGCGGGCTGATGCAGAAGTCTGAGAATCAAGCAACTGATGGCAGAGGGGCATGTACAGGCAGAAAGTTTAACAGTTGCAAAACCCAGTTTCCCCAGGTTAATCTTGCTTCAGACAGGTCCAAGAGGCTTGCTGCCTTGGTGAAATAAGATGACCCCTCTGCGGAGAGAGGAGTTCAAGGACCCCGCTCCTAGTCTCTGCTTAAACCCCCTCACGGTGGGTAGGAGAATAAGCTAATAAAAAGTCAAGATTAAGAGCATTTTTACAAGTCTGCAGATTTTTAAGAGAACCTTTGAAAAGTTCTCATATTATCCTTCTAAACATGTCATTTTACTTTCAAAGTTATAATTGGGCTGACAAGTTCCAGTTAAAACAATTTACTTTGCTGATCTCACTAGCCTGTAATTACCTCTCTTTTCTAAAATAGATTTCTAGGAATGGTGGGGGGGGCAGCAGTGGTCTTTGGTATAGATTGTTTTTAGATAGCACTTTTGCAGCTGAACAAGGAAAGTTTTAAGAGATCAGTGGTTTTATCCAATTCATCTCCATTAGTGAAAGCTATTGATAGGATATCAGTTCTTTATTCCACCATGGAAAACTGATCCTCCTAGCTGTTTTTTGGTTTTCGTGTTGTTTTGTCTCTGGTGAACTTGGACTCCAGCATAAATAGGAGATAATTCTATATTGCTGACTTTCACCTGAATATAGAACCATGCACCATAGCACTCTTCTTATTGTAACTTCTTCCCTTGTGGAAGGAAACTGAAGGTCAATTAATTATACTCACATAAGCTAAGAGAAAAGGCATATTACATATATTTACCAATACTTCCTGGTTACTAGATCTCAGCATACATTCAGCTTTTATCCCTTCTCCAGTTAAGCTTTCAAAAAATGGTTAAAATAGGCCTTCTAAATCTCCTTTTTTACTTAGTGAGCCAAGGAGAGCATATTATGTTTCTCATTTACTGGGTACAGAAAGTGTTACTTTATATTGACTCCTAAATTACACATGAGCAAGAGGTGGTTTGTATAGTTAATCCTTGTTCTTGTTCCAGGAGGCTGAGTTTTGGCAGAGGAGTTGATGCACGTGAGAAAGCTCACCCATTTCCATTTCAGAGGAGGAATCACTGATCATAAGCATGTTGTGGCATTTCACAGTTAAAGAGATTCTGTTGGGAAGCCGGCTCGCGTGCACTGAGTTTTGCTTTCCCTCACAAACATGTTTGGACCTGAATCCCCTGGTACCCTCAGTGGCTGGAATTCTGCACTCAGCCCTCTTGTTGAAACTGCTCTCAGGCAGGAGGACTAATGAGAGAATTCCAGAGTGCCCACCCTGGGCTGGCTCTGTGCTGTCTTTAAGGAGAGCGAGACAACCAACCTCGAGGCAGGCACAGTAAAATGTGCTGGGGGTGTACTGGTGGCAATGTGGGCCCAGAGAGGGCGGGAGTCATTTCGCCTGGGGTGGGGATGGAGGGAGTCAGGTTAGTGAAGCCCCCTGGATTGATTCTTGAAAGGTGTTTCTTAGCCCCCTGATGTACTGAGTCAGCTTTCTCTTATTCCTGCCACCTGACCTCCTGTCACCAGCTTGCGGCAGGCAGTGGGGTGCAATGCTCTACGCAGGACTCTGTGCCAGAAGGAGACTTGATGTCCAATCCGCTTTGTATTTTACTAGCCAAGAGCCCCGCACGGGCAGGTTATGTTGCCTCCCTGAACTCAGGGGTTTTGTCTATTGTACTGACTTCCCAGGTTGAGAGAGCGAAATTAAAATATCATACACGAAGCATCTGGCTCACAGTAGGTATCTGGAAACACCTCCTCTTCGAGTGCATGAAGTATGTGCAGCGGCAGTGTCTGCCAGTGAATGCGGCACTGGCCCGGCACACAGCTCTCCAAGGACTGGACTGCAGAGCAAGGACTGGTGCAAGAGCAGCCACAGTGGCCAAAGCAGGCGGCATGGCAGCATGTTTAGATGAAGAAACCACTTCAATTCTGAAGCAACACTCTAGTTGACAGTGAACATGTAACCATTTTTCAGGTCACAGATACAGTCATAAAACTGCCCAACAAACTCAGATGGGTTCATTTTTTAATGTAAACTTTCTATTGAAGTATACACATAGAAACATAAAAACCTAAATGGACAGCTCAGTGAATGTCATAAAGTACACACACCTGTGCCACTACTACCCAGGTCAAAGAAATAGACTATTTCACCCAAGGGGAACCAAAGCCTGCCTGCTGTCAGCAGGGACTGGTCCAGCCTGGTTTTGAACTCTATGTAAATAGACTCCTAGGGCATATGGCCTTTTGTTTCCGGCGTCTTTCACCCAAGATTCCATGAGGTGCATCCACATTGCTTTGTAGCAGGTGTTTATGCTGTCTTCATTGCTGTACAGCATTTATCTATTCTACTGTTGATAGAGTATGCAACTGTTTCCAGGGTGGCTGGCTTTCTAATGAAACCGACATCTTTCACACGTCTCCTGGGGCACGTGCTTTCTCATTTCTACTGAGTGTTCTAGGAGTGGACTTGCTGTCATCAGGTATGTTTCAGCTGTAACAGATAGGGCCAAACGGTTTTCAGAGTGCTGTTACCAGTTTACACTGCCACCCTCAGTGTCTGAGGACAGATGAGGTCATTTGCCCAAAGATGCACTGAAATCTATTTCTCCAATTTCCATCTCTATGTCTGTCTCCTCAAAATAGCTGTTATTCAGTGCTGTCAAGTAAAATCATTGGGGGTTACCACTAGATTATAAACCTGTGGAAGACTGGATCTCCAAGTTTTCATAGGAGATTTCAGTCTTCAGTGATGTTGAAAATAAACCAGAATTGCAGTTTCCCCCAGCTTAACAAATGACATCTTAGGTGCTCTCCATCTGTGCTTTTAACATTTAAAGAAACTCAACATCTTGCCCAGCTCGCTTATTAGATTTTTCAACTTCTGTAATTTGGGGTTGGACCTTCCGTCTAACTGTCTGTCTTGGTTACAAAACAGTGAGGGTTTCTGAGAAACAATTGTCTGCACTGTGAAAAGAGGAGTGTCTTTGTTCTGAGTGCAGAGGCTAGTCCGGCTTTCTCTGTTATGGGACCAGGGAAGCTTTCATTCATTCCCTTTGATATAAGTGACCGAACTGCCTCTCTGGTAGTTTAAATTGTAATTGCTGAGTAAACACATATGTTGGTCAGAGTTGAAGGGTCAGACAGCGCTGGGAAGGCCAGGCCTTTGTGTGGCCACAGAGCAACTATTGTGAGCTGCTCTGCCTTCCTGGTGACCTCAGGCCGACTCCGGGGGAGGCCCCGGGTAGTCCATATATTAGATTTCTCCACCATAGATCAAAGGTGGGTACAGGCTCGGTTCTCCTGGCAATTCCTAAGAGCGCTGCTCTCGGGATTTGGCATCAAGTTTGCATCAGGATACTAATGGTGACGTTGCAGGACAGCCCTGCTCTGACCAATTTTATCCTTAACAGGCAGGTATTTTATAGCTAAAACCGAAGCTGCAATCTCTCTTCTAGGTTTCAGAAAAAAGCTAAGGTAATAGAATTTTCTCAATTGTAAGGTGTCCTTGCATAAAATTTCTTAAGCTTCTTGGTACGTGTTACCACACAATTCTGGTTTAGATGCTATGAGAACTGGCATAAACTTTTATAGCACTTGATTATTTTTCACCTATTTTATCCATATTTCATGATGTTCCACAAAAGCGCCCGATATTCCACTAATTCAGTGAGTTTGAGAATCCTGGGTCTGTGTGGAAAGCCAGCGGCTCCAAACCTTGTCGTGGCGGCAGGCACTGTATGCTGAGGGCTCCCTGTGCAGTGCTGCGCAGGTCCCTGACGTCAGGTCTCCTGCCAGCGTCATCCTGCCCCTGACGCTGTGATCCATGACGTGGCCATCACTCTCCTCACGGCCAGGTGCTCTGCTCTCCACTGCCCATCTTGAAAGGCTGGTGTCTTCTCCCCCTTGCTTTGTACTTGAGGGCCCGCAGGTCACCACAGGAGTTGTGGCTATGGTACTGGAGGTGACATCCAAGGGGAGGTTACAGAGTCCAGCTGACCCTCTGTGAGCGGGACTTTGCCCTCCAGTACAACTTGAAATACCTTGGTTTTTCTACGATTGGCAGGGGATTTCCCTATGGACTCTGTTAAAATATGTGTTTGCATATTTACTTTTGTGATTTTCAGTACACCTAGCTGAGCAATGTGCGAGTCTCCTAAGGAATGACACGAAATTTCTTATTGGCTTAAAAGCACTCCCCAGTTTGCATTTCTGTACTGTTGTCTGGCATACACTAAGCCCTTAGACTAGGGACAGCAAATTGGTTTTATCTGACCTATCAACTCTAGTCAATTGGTGGTGATTTGCTGGTGTTCTTCAGGATGTGCGGGCCCTACCCTGGCTCTTAGGAAGGGGAAGAAATGCTGTGATCGATCAGAATGCCTGCCATGGGTCTGGGTGGGAAAGGGGCAACAAGGTCACCACATATTCCCTTCCAGGCTTCTAACGGAACAACGTGGTCCAGCAGCCTGGAGCCAGCATCCAGCAAGAAGGAGCCCCAGGCACTCTGACTTCTCTGTAGCTTCTGTCCTGAGATACTCTGAGTCACCAGAGGCAGTCAGCAGGGCAGCCCAGAGCTTAGGCCCTGAAGTGAAACGTGCCTGGGTTCAAATCCTAGCTCCACTCACCAGCTGTGTGGCTCTGGGCAAAGACCTGGGCAATGACGGACCTTTAAACTCTGACAAACACGAGGTGTTTACTCAGCAATTACAATTAAACTACCAAACAGGGAGTTTAATCACTTCTATCAAGGGAATGGAAGCTTCCTTGGATCCCATAATAAAAACCTGTGCCTCAGTGTCCTCATGTATAAAATGAGAATCATACTAGTAACTACCTCGTATGGTTGCTACGAGCAGTAACCAGTTACTCCATGTGAGGTGCTTGGTCAAAGACGGCCACTGTTTTCATCATCGCCGGTCCTCCTCCTCCCTCTCTGCAGCTGAACTCTTCCTACTGGTGTGGCCACCAGCCTGACCCCTTCCAGCCCGTCAAGGCTGTACTGCTGTGACCTGCTGCTGCTCCTCTGGGATTGACCACATGCCACTCCTGGGCTGCCCTTCCCCACTGCCGAGATTCCACTTCCCCAATAACAACAACAACAACAATAATACTTCCCTTTTATGGAGTACTTCCTATATATCAGGCATGGTACTAAGCCCTTTATATATATACACATTCGCATGCATATACATATAATTAAATCTTTCCACCACTCTAGGAGGGTGATATTATTGCACCCATTTCATGGATGAGGAGGTGCAGAGAGCCTAAGTGACTTGACCCAGGTCACAGAGTCCGTAACAGAATCAGGATTTGAATCTAGATGTCTCCTTGATAACTTAGATTTTTTTCCTCCTGGCCAAATTTTTCCTTTGGTTAGGACCCCCTCCTTGTTTCTACCTGCCTTTTCTTAGCACTGATGAATTAGATAATTATTATAAAGATTTTCCAGGTAGAGATTTTTTTAAAGAAATGTCCAAGCCAAGGATTTCCAAGTGGTTTCCACAGTGACTCAGGGGATCAGAAAGTCCTTTTCATGGTTTTATCCAATTCATGCCCTTTGTGGTTACCAGATCTCAGAATATATTCAGCTGTTATCCCTTCTTCCAGTTAAGCTTTCAAAAAATAGCTAAAATCTGCCTTCTAAGTTTCTTTTTTACTTATTGGAAATGGATGATAATGGGAGGTAGAATATGTTATTTAAAATATGTGGGCTTTTTGAAAGGAAAAAAATGAGCTTGTTTTATTTGATCGCATGTACACAGTGACAGGCCAAGTTCTAGGCACTGAACAATTTAGGTCATGTCAACAACAAGACTGGCACTAACAGCCTGAGGATTCTGGGCACCTGGGGAGGGCAGACAGCCAGGGTCAGCCGGGACACACCTCCATTTTCCTTTGGGTTTGCAAACCTGGTAGCAGCTCTCAACTTAAATGTGAGCAAGTCAGTATAAGAGATGGTCCTCCCACAGAACCCAAAAGACCCAAACATTGCTCCCAAATTGGCCACAAGCCAGAAATTTCATGAGTTACTGTGGACGCTTAATGGTCAAGGATTCCTGCCTACTGGCCTCTCCGTTCTAGGCTGGTTCCCTCCCACTCGCCTCCAGCTTGTCTTTCTAGTTTTGGGAATGGTCCTTTTTCCCCTGTCCTCATGCTTTGGTTGAGACCAGCATCTCTCTTCTGATGAGAGAGAGTGGCAGCCAGAAGGAAGCTTCTCCACTCTTCTCCCCAACATCTTATCCCAGAAAACAACACAGTGCCTGTCCTGAGAGGCTCACGAGGGGCGTTTTCTGCTAGCACAGTAGACATCTGTTGGGCTCACACGGATTTCCCTTCTGTGAGAATTCCCTCCATCTCCCACTGTTTAAGAAGGATGCGACCAGAGAAAACCCCAGGCAAAGCGCCACAGGTGTGAGAGTCGGAAGCAGGCTGGCAGGCACTGAAATGGGAAGGGCCCGAGGGATGATGGCGGGCCCAGCACCATGTGCTGCAGACACAGTGTCCTCAAAGCTGAGGCATGTTTGTGTGCCCGGAGCTCTCCTGGGTGTCACCTTCATTCACACTTGATTGAAATCTTATTTTTCTTTCAATCTTGTGAAATACTTCAGAGGAATTCCAATAAGCTTCTTTAAAAAAGAACTATATGTATTTTATGATTATAATGGTTATTACTATGGTGGTTGTTATTGTTATTATTATTTTTTGTAGGCTGGTAAGAGTTGGTTTCAGTTGTGGTTAACTAAAAGAAACTCTCGGGGCTGGCCCTGTGGCCGAGTGGTTAAGTTTGCCTGCTGTGCTGCGGCAGCCCAGGGTTTCACTGGTTCAGATCCTGGGCATGGACATGGCACCGCTCGTTAGGCCACATTGAGGCGGCGTCCCACATGCCACAACTAGAAGGACCTGCAACTAAGAAATACAACTATGTACCAGGGGGGATTTGGGAAGATAAAGCAGGGGGAAAAAAAAAAGAACCTCTCCCAGTATACCTAGTTGAGTAACAGGCAGAGAGTAACTAGGTTGATTTGAAGAGGGGTCAAGTGACATTTACTATGTACTATGTACTCGTATATATACTAGCACTGATTGAGCACTTTCGACCTGCCAGAATTTCCCACTTAGACCTCACTGGGCAAGCTCATTCAAGCTCTCACTTCATCACAGGCTATAAGAAGTAAAGAAAACAAAACAACACAAAACATAGGTAGGAACATGATCAAACTTAAAAGGAAAACAGTAAACTGGAAAAAATAAACTTGCCACAAATCTGACATTCAAAGATATCCTTGATCCATAAAAATAAGCAAACAATGAAAATCCCAAAAGGAAAATGATGTGCAACTAGCTAATTAATATGTGAAAAAAATCTGTTAGTAAAGAAAAGAAAAGTAAAATGTCAGATGCCCCCCCACCCCCGCCCCAATTATCAATTGGGAAAAATTTACCAAAATGAAAAAGCCAGTTGTTGGTACAAATGTTGAAGAATGTTTCTCCTGCCCACTGCTGGTGGAAATGTAAAGTAGTACAGTGTACCCTTTCTGCAGCCGGCTTGAAAATATCAATCAAAAGCCTTTAAAATGTTCATATCTTTTGACGTAGCAATTCCAATTCTACAGCTTTTATCAGGGAAATAAGTTGTGTAGAAAAAGAGACACATATTTCATTGCATTATCTATATAATCAAAGTGGGATTTTTAAAAAACTGGCTTTCTGGGGCCAGCCCTGTGGCACAGTGGTTAAGTGCACACATTCTGCTTTGGTGGCCCGGGGTTTGCCAGTTCAGATCCCAGGTGCGGACATGACACTGCTTGGCAGGCCATGCTGTGGTAGGCGTCTCACATATAAAGTAGAGGAAGATGGGCATGGATGTTAGCTCAGGGCCAGTCTTCCTCAGCAAAAAAAGAGAGGAGGATTGGCAGCAGATGTTAGCTCAGGGCTAATCTTCCTCAAAAAAAAAATAAAATAAACTGGCTTTCTTCTTGGAATGAAGGGCAGTACCCCAAGTGATATACATTAACATTTACTGAGCACTTTCCATATGTCAGGTGCTTTCCTAAGAGCTTTATATATATGAACTCATTCCTGGAGGCACTCACAGTCTCACTGGGGACTACTGGGGCAGACACATGGCACAATGAGAGAACAGGGCTGTACTGGGCCGGCCTCAGGGTATAAGTAATAGAAAACCACTCAAATTAGCATTAGTTTGGAAAAAAAAGGTGTTTTTTTTACTCAGAAGTCTCAGCAATGGATAATAACAACAGGCAAGACTTACTGAGAGCTTTCTGTGGGCTACCCACTGTTCTAAGCTCTTTGTATGTATTTTTAATCTTTACCCAATCCTGTAAGGTGGGTACTATTCTTAACCCCATTTTTCAGCTGAGGGAACTAAGGCAAAAGAGAAAATAAGGGGCCTGACCACAGTTGAAACAGCAGTAACCAGAGAACCAGTAATGACAGCCAGCCAGGCAGCTGGCTCCAGAGCTCATGTTCTTAACTAGGTTCTTAACATGGCTGGATTCAGGAGTTGAAACAATGCAACCAAGACCTCTTGGCTTGGCTTGCATCTCAGAGCTTCCTTCCTAGGTGGGCTACCTCCATGTGTCCCCATGGTGGCAGCCCCAAGCCCACGTTGCCCTCACAACTCACCACACCAACAAAGAAGTTGTTCCCAACAGACCCTGCCTAAGTCCTGGGGACTGACACGTCTGGTTTGCGTCATATGCCCTCCCCTAGGACAAGGTCAGCCTCCTGAGCACTCTGCAGGACCACTACAGAAAGGAGGAAAAGTGGTTTCTCAGAGGAAGGTTGCTGGGTGGACACATGCATGCCCACAGTGAAGACCAGTTCATTGCAATCAAGGGCCGAAGCAGAAAGTGTGTAATGGAATTCCTGCTACGTGCCAGTTGTTTGCAAGGCACTAGGGAGCTACTAAGACATGGTTGTTCCCCCCGATCAACTGCGGAGAGCACAGGCAAAAGGAAAATTGCAACAAAGAGTAACTGGAGCCTGAGGATACGGTTATAACTGATGAAGACGTGAGTAGGAGCCAGATCTGGAAGGCTGGGCAAGCCCGACTAAGTGGTGGTGAATAGTAACTACCACTGCTTGAACTTATACCACATGCCAGGCACTAGGCTAAGCAATGGGTATATATTTATCTTAACTCTGGTACCCATTGTGCCACACATGAGGAGACTGATACTGATAACAATGAAATAACTTGCCAAGGACCCATAGTGATGCAGTCAGGATTCAGTAATCTATAAACACATTGGACTTAACCAAGTTGCTAAGGGGAAGCCAGCAAAAGTCATAATCAAATTAATTTTTCCCTGCAAGTAATCCACATTGAAAATGAAATTTCTTGGTTGGTAGCAATCTGATATATATCTATCATTAAGGTACGCAGTACACACATTTAAGAAGTTATTTAATGGGCCCCAGCAAAGAAGATGTGGTCATTAAATATTGGATTTTTTCCAACCTGCTTTTAAGTATCATCAATATGGTGTGCAAGTAGTGCCATTTAAAATATCAAGGAAAAAAAGCTGGAAGGATTTCAGATCCAAATACAAAGACCCTGAAACCACCAAAGGGGAAACAGGATCTGACCGAGCACACTACATATGGAAACCCTGGAATCGGTGCCAGGCTCTTGGGAATATTCAGTTACGAGGGAGACCCAGCACTGACCCTTCTGCCAGGAGACAATCAACAGAAGACTGTATTTGATAGGAATTCACTTCCTGTTAACCAGACTTCTAACCCTGTACAAGAGAGAGAAGAAGGGAGGGCAAAGACCCCAGTTGGCTTTGAAGAGATGAACGCTGATTCTTTAGGAGTCTGAAAAGAAAAACAAAAAACAAAGTGGGAGAAAAGAGGTATTGTGTAGAAAGGCCATATGATCCTCGTGGCTGTTAAATTCTTTGCTCCAAAGGGTTTGCTAGAAAGGCTGAAGAAACGGCAGAAATAACCCGGCAGAAATAACCCAGCAGAAACTTGAAATTCTTTTCTGGAATATTTCTTTTTACAGTTTTTCTGCAGATACCCACGACATACAGGAGATCTTCAAGAGTGGCTACTAACTAATCCGCATTCTACTTGCTGGGTGGCTTTCTGGGCTATGCATCCCCGTATTCAACCCACCTCAGGCCACTCTCCCTCCTCCCCACACTCCCCAGGAGAATGAACTGCTCTCCATTCGGTACTCCCATAACCATATACACAGTGTTTCTATTATGGCTTTATATTGAAATTGTCTTCTCCACTAGATTCTAACTTACCTCTGTCTTCAGCATTTTAGCAGACGCAGCTGCTCAGAACACATTTGTTAATTAATGAAACGCTTCCATACTTTTATAAACATTACGCTATCCCGTATTATGTCTCTGTGGTCATCTCTGGTCCAGTCCAGGAGCTCCTCAAGGGCAAAGTCATGTCTTATTCATCTTTATTCCCATTGCCTAGCATGGTGCCTAACAGTTCGTAGCAAATAGTAGGTGCTCAGTAAGCGTTCAATGGTTAAGCACAAAACTTCTCAACATATGACCCGATAGGAAGGGGGTAGTAGAGTCATAAACAGGATTATTGATGGAGCAAAACTTGTGAATTAGTGACACAGTCTTTTTCGGTTTATGAGCGTGAGCGATGGGAAATGGCAGTTTTCTGGGAAAGTACACATTTAGCTCCCAAGTTCCCAGCAGGGGCAACTTCTCCTAAGTCGGAAGCAGGGGGTTAACATGAACCACATACAGGTGCTTCGCATTTAAACTTCACAACAAACCCATGAGGCAGGTATCCTCTCCGTTATGCAGAAGAAGAACCAGGCCGGCGAGGTTTATTTCTTGCGCAAGTCCACCTAAATGGTCAGTGCCAGGCCCGGGGCTCAACAGCAGGCGCACCGGCCACCCAGCGGTCCTTTCCTCCTCCTGGGGCTGCCTTCGACACTTTCAAGTCTAGCTGGGCGACTCTTGAAGAGGAGAATTAGGAAAGACACTAGGGGCTGTGATGCTTTAGACACAGGGGAGCCAGGGAAGGCTCCGGAGGCACAGGGCAAAAGGAACCAAGAGGCGCCACACAAAGGCGCATCCCTGCATGCCACGCAGAGCGGCGTCAGCAACCTTGGTCCTTCTGGCCTTCCGTAGCTCGGAATAAAAGGGATATCTTCCGCCGGGAGAGGACTAGTATCTTGAAATTCAAATCAGGTTTGAGGACTCGAGCGCAGAGGTTAAGAAGCCAACTCGGACGTACATTTCCATTAACTAACACTCCGAAGACCAAAGAGTCTCCACCCCTCACAAAAAGAGACTCCTCCGCCGGAAAGCCGATGGCGGAAGTTCCGGCGGGCTTGACGTCACTTCCGCCGGGGTTCTGGGCGGTGCCAAGATGGACGCTTCGCGGGCGCGGGAGCATCTCCGGCGGCGGTATCTGTTCCCGCCGGACGCCGAGGCCCCGGTGGACGGCGAGAGCTCTGCCGGGCCGGGTGAGGCGCTCCCCCGGGCGCGCTACGAGCTGCGCCGAGGCCCCCGGAAACGGCCGGCCCGCGGGCCTCCCGCAGCCCTCCCCAGTCAGGAGGGACCGGGTTTCGTTTTTCCAGGCTTACCGAATAGTTTGGGAAGTCGGGTATTTGGTGTCATAAAAGATCCTTAGAGAACACGGAGCCCTGCGTATCTTCCTCTCAGCTGCGCTCCAGGGTTCCCAGGAGAGCTGATTTAACACCTGTTTGGCAACATCCATTAATGTTAAAGATGCCCACCGTTCTTTCTACGAATCTACCAAAGGAACATACTTGTATCAGTATGTCCACAAGGACGTGTGTGTAGTGTTTCACCTCAGCATTGCTTGTAATAGCGAGCGACCGGAGACATCTGATGGCCTGTCAGCAGAGAGCTGGTTCAGTACGTTTAGATGTATCCATACATGACACACCAGGACGACTTTTATATACCGATGTGGGTGATTTTCAGAGGGAGGCGCAGAACAGAGTCTGGTATGCCACCATGTGGGTACAAACCAGATCACGTGTGATTTTTATTCACCTGTAGTTGCGTAGAATTTGGAAGAATTCGGTATAAGTTGATATTGGTAGTTGCTTTTGGGCTGAGGAACTGCAGTTAAGAATAGGAGAGAGAGAGATTGCATTTTAGCTCTTGTCTTGTACGTTGTAAGTCCTGTGCATTTATTACCTTTTGAAGAATAAAGAGAAGAAACATCATGCCAGGCATGCTTATGTATAAATTTTGAGGGTATCTTCCAGAATTTGTTCTCTCAACAAGTTCCGCAGGGATCCTGACGGTCAGCTAAAGGTCAGGAACCTCAGATGTATTCTAGTGGTTGTCATATGATCTAGAGGAAGGGCGTGTCACTCACCTGGGGAACTTGTTAGCAGTAACTCACCTGAGCCAATCCCAGCCACCTGTTCTTTCAGATCAGGTCCCAGATGGAAGAAATTTGACTTGTCCATCACCTGAATAGGTGGCGCTGTGCCAGGACTAGCCCTCCCATGTGCCCTTTCCATTTTTGAGCTGCTTCAAGTAGTTGTGTTTAAAATAATTTAAATATGTAATTAAAAGTATTTTTTGAAAATCACAAGTCTGTTTTGTCCTTTAAGTTTTGCTGTTTGCATTTTTCTTAATTAACAGGACTAATTACATCTCTAGGTGATATATGAAACATAATGTTAAAATTCCTACACTACCAGGTGGCATCATTCTTTCTGAAAGACTATGAGTATGCAAATTTGGTTTCAAAATTCATTTAGAAGAATAAAGTTGATTGTTTTGAACATGTTTTTTAGCAGGCTCCTATAATTTCTGCAAAGAAAAACCTACTTTGATGGCTTTACAGAAGAAATTGGTACTATAATGGGAGAAAACCTGGTTCTTAGAAAACACTAGGAATTTATTTTATTTGGCTTAAAATAAGTGTGATTTTTCTTCATAAACTTATGGTAACTTGATAAGTTGAAACCTTCCTTATTTGCAGAAGCCTCTACAGCAGTTGAGAAAAAGGAGAAACCTCTTCCAAGACTTAATATCCACTCTGGATTCTGGATTTTGGCATCCATTGTTGTGACCTATTATGTTGATTTCTTTAAAACCGTTAAAGAAAACTTTCACACTAGTAGGTAAGAAAACTTTATTGCTTCATACGTTGAACACCTTTGTCTTATTTTTTATGTTCTGTTTTGTCAGTTGAATTCTTTAAACACTTGGTAAGCACCTGCCCTCTGCCGGGCACCGTGTTGGAGGTACTGGTGATACAAAGATGAGTGAGAGAGTGTATGCTCTGGGCGTATACAGGAGAGTGGGTGAGAGTGGAAAGTATTTCAGTGTGCCTTTTCAGCATAAATGTGTTGTAGGATGGGGAAGGGAGTGACTTTAAGAAGGACCTAATCCATTTGTAAAACATAGAGGGAGAAAGACTGACTGCAGGTCTTTATGAAGATAAAGTGCAGGGGTACTGGGAGGAAGGAATGAGAGTCGTTGTGGGTGAGAATTGGGTCTTGGGACTTGTTTTCAGAGGATAGTTACAGCTAACAAGGTAACTACAGGGTGTGAGTGAATTAGAGTTGAGGTCATTAGTGGGAGGAGTCAAGCTTTGAGGCAAGATGTCAAATAGTCCATCATTCACGAAGATTGAGATCTCCAGTATAATCTCAGGAGTTGACATGGAGGAAAAAATTGTGAATCATATCCCAGAGTCCTCACTGAACATTGAAGAATGTTCTGGAGGCCCCCAGAATACAGAAGAAAGAGGGAGAGATATTGGTGAGTGTCAGAGCTGGCATTGGGAGGGGTGGTTTGCATAGGTTGCAAGCATGACTGGAAGTACTGTCAGGGCTAGAAGACAGGTGCAGACAGGACTGTTTGATCCTGTGTTATCGTTGGGGGACACAGAGTTCTCCAGAATCCTTCAGGAGGAGCAGTGAGTGCCGGAGGGGAGCCAGGAGCTCGATGGAGCACACAGTCAGGGAAAAGCAAGCATAAGTGAGTTGATTTAAACTATTAGAGGGAGAAAGCTTGTTCCCCTCTTATTTCTGTGAGCAGGAACTTTCCTTAAACACTTCCATCTTCCTGTCCCTCCCCGTCACTTGCTCCTTCCCTGGGAGGTGGTGTGACTATCTGATTGAGTTTGGGATGAAGAACTAGACGTGTAGTTTAGCACCTTCTTTCTTTTGGGAGCCAGCTGCCCATGGGAAGCACAGACTCTGGTCCGCTTTTCTTTGCCATCGTTTTATGGGGGCAGCACCAACATGAGCAGATCTCTAGGTTTTCGTTTCAACTTGGAATCTTGGGTAAGTCTGTCTGTTTCTGAGTTTCAGTATCAGGAAGCACTTTGTCACTGGCTTTGTCACCAGAGCCATCTTCCCACAGCTCTGTCAGTTAAAAAGCTGACAACTCATGTTCATCATCCTCACTCCTTTGTCTCTATCAGTTGGTTTAGAGCTTGGGCTGGGAAAAGATGGAATGGTTACTTCACACACCACCAGTAGCAGCTGCGCCTGTGTTCATCAAATATTTCGTGAGAACCTGAAGTGTGTTCACCTGTGGTGACAATGATGCATAAGGCACATTTTTAGCCCTCCAACAGCTCCTTCTAGGCCAAGACAGGGAGATGCATAGGTCACGTGGTGCAGGCTGTGTGAGTGTATGTATGGGATGCTACGGCAACATCTAGAAGGGCACCTGATCCAGAGCAGTCTTAGGAGGTAGACCTGTTGGAGGTTTTAGGAGAGATAGAGGACTTCTCTATCTGTGTCCTTATATTAAGTATTCTTAGGAGTTTAACTTTAAGGAAATGATGAGGTAAGGAATAATTAGCCGTAGAAGATGTTTGGGGGCACCTGCAGGAGTAAGTGGAATGCCAGGGAGCATACCGCTGTGGTGTGGCAGAGCCAGGACTCGGGACCAGGGCTGTGAGAATGAAAAGAGAGTAGGAGTCATAGGCCTGGCCTCAAAAAAGCATCATCTTACAGAAAAAAGACCTAAGTGCATCCTCCGAGGCTGAAGATTTTGAGTAGCATGGTGTTCTTGCTGAGGGCCTCAGTAAGCAGTGGGGAGCTTGAGCAGCCGTGGGATAGAGTGGTACTCAAAGATAGTTGAGGCTGAGTTCTGCTTTCTTAAAAACGTTCATTCCTCTCACACCTGAGGGAGTTCCTTTCTTTACCCTGCTGTTAGCCAAGTTCAGAAGCTCGAGGCATTAGGGTTCTTTAAATCTATGCAAGGCTACGGATTGTATGTTCAAAGATAGGAGAGACAAGTCAACATTAAAAATAAAGCAAAACATCCTGATGCTTTGGAAATCACAATTTAAAAAAAAATCCTGGTTGTTTGCATCAGAATCAACTGTGGAGTTGATTAAACTACAGCTAAAATTACAATCCCAGATGCTCAGGGCCTTCCAGACCCACCAGGTCAGAAACTGGGGCAAGATAATTTCATTTTAGAAAATCACAAAGCTGACTCAGATCAGTAGCCAGGGCTGAGGACCACCGACTGGCAGTACTTTATTTTGTTCAGGCAGTTTTCTCGGTTTTTCTGTCCTTTCCCATATCTGGACAGAGCAGCCGCACTAGAATTCCGTGTGAAGTTAGAAACTGAAATGAATAGAAGGAAGGATTCTGACAAAGCAAGGAGATCACCGTAACTCTAGCACGGTGTTCCACAACCTTTCTTTATTGTCACCTCCTAAGGAGCCGTTTTTAACCATTTTTTCCTAATCACCCCCTTATGTGCTGCATGCATATTTGTGCTTTGTACATAGAAAAAGAGTGAGATTTTTTCTTCACTTTGAGGGTGGTATCGCCCCTGTTGAGAATGCATACTCTAGCAGAAGAGAGCTCTTTGAAGACCCCTCAAGAGGAACATGGAAATATTTTTCTCGTGGATAACATCAGTGGAATAATGATCGCTACTGAGGTTAGCTGTGTGAGAAACACTTTCCTAAACACTGTTTGATTCTCATAGCTCTTCTGTGCGTTAAGTGTTGTTAATATTTCCCAAGCACACTGAAGTTAAGTAACTAGCTCACAAAGCTAGTCTTGCTGGAGCTGACATTCACACCCAGACAGACAGATTGCAAAGGCTGTGCTCCTAACCACTGAATTATCTGCCTCTCATCATTCTGAATCCAAGAATTGCATCATCATAAAGAGCCTTAAAAGAAGTCATCACTTCCTTGCCATTGTTGAAAGTCAGCTCAGTGC